AATGAGGTGTTGAGGGATTCAGGAATTATAATTGCCCGTTTCATGTGGTTTTATGAAACGGCGCATTAGTAAATGAAAATAAATCGGCTTTACGAGCCCCTCACAAAATGCCATTCTTTATTTTTTTTTTTAGGCACGCACATATAACGTTATATACATGGAAAAGGAAAAACATATAAAGAGTAATAAGAACGTCACTGTATATTATTACGAATGTCTTCCATCTTATATACGGTCGAAGAGGCGTGCCAACTCATACTCTCTCAGCACTCTGTTGGATGTGCCGCACCTTCAAGTGGGTTATTAGGTTCCGAATCCTCATGAACTGCAGCCCACACACGTTACATTTCAGAGATATTTCTTTCTTGGCAGCGTCCTTTCCAGGAAGCTCCCTCCCCGTTGATGAATCCCTCTTGTGCTCGGAAAAATGTCTCACTAAATGGAGCTTATGGAGAAAGTGTTTCCCGCACACGTCGCACCCAAACAACCTCCTCTTGCGGGAGTGCACCGCGGAATGCCTCAGGAGATTGCCCTTTTGGCTGAATTGCCGCCCACACACATCGCACGAGAAGGGCTTGACCCCGGAGTGGAGCATGGAGTGGGTGTTCAGATTGCTCCTGCTGCTGAACCGCTTGCAGCACAGACTACACTCCAGGGTCCTCTTAACTTTGCGGTACATGGCGGAGAAAGCGTTGTTGTAGGGTTATTCTCTTGACAACAGACCTCGCGATAGTCGTAGCACTGTCCAAACGACCTGCGTATAAATACCGCATAAACAGGACATTGGGGAAAGTACCTCGTTTGGCGGAAAGATGGTAGTTATTTGAGTGAGGTCTTACGCCTTTCTCAAATACCATCTCGGGCTCCTTATTGCCAATGAAACGTGATGTTTATGATGTCAGAAAGACTTAGTAGATTCTTTTACTGAAATGGAGTGAATTGCAAATGTACGATCATTACAAATGTACAAAGTTTACTACATCACATAACCTGCAAAAGAAAAATATAATTGTTATTACGATTATAAAACCTTCGATATCATTTTCTCTGTTTATAGGCATATCTATATAAAAATAAGCAAAGTCCGTATTAATCGAAATAAGGTTATATGAAGTACCGGAGAGGATACACAAATACACATATTACCTCATTCCCCGTTCACACTGGTGGTAGTCCAATACAACATCGGAACAGCTGTTTTTATCTTCAAGCTTTTGACATTTGTTAAACAATATTCTGTGATTGCATCGTCTGGTCAAGTGAAAGATGTTTGAAATTTATCAATAACCAACGATAATTGTACATATTACTTGTTTAAGGATGTATTAATGATTCATTATTACGCTAATTCACATTTTTTTCACAATGTTTCAATCCAACAGAGCTAGAAAATTATCTATGCAAATATTACTGCGTCGTTTATACACAGATTAGTATCTTAGAGACTCTTCCATGACATAACTGTATATTTACCCAATCCCTTCGGGTTTCTTTTATGCTGGAAGCAAATTTAGTAAGAGTTTTCTTAGCGATCAGTGATTAATGTAAATAACAGTGAACTATGTTTTTGTAATTTTTCTTATTTAATTCCTTGTTCATACGGCCTCCTCCTGATTTCTGTGATTCTGTTATGCGTATTTGAATATGGTGTTAATATGCAAAATAAGAAAAAAACAACAACATAGATATCAATTAAATTTCAAGCAATTTCACGTTTAGATAATATAATCATATAGGTTACAGATATATGTAAAATGACATTGAAAAAAAATGGTTAATGTTTTGAATGACGAAATTTAAAGAAGGCGTTTTTTTAATTTTCCATTTCTTCGACTTCCCAATATCTGCTCTCTACCTCATTATTATTAGTAAAACGAAATAAATTAATATTGGAGAAGTTCCGAGCAAAACGGCGGGGAAATGTGTATTACAATTTTTACCAATTCTGCTGAAAATGGTTTCTAAGGTTTTCTTACTTTCTTTGGGGAGATAATAAGTCACTTTCATGTCCTTGTTTATGCGGTCTTTGACAAGTTAACCATTTTGCCTTTTATCTGTTTGTCGATTTAGTCATTTATCAATTCATATCTTGTAAAAAACAAAACTGCGATACAACAGCAGGCCGAACGAATGGCTTGCACACGGCGTTTGAAGAATTGAGAAAGAGGGAAATTACCAGGCATTGCAGACGACATACGTTGCAGAAGGATGTATCCACGGAAGAATTACATACCAGAAGCAACACCGACCATTATAGAGTCACTTAAAGCAGACTGGAACTAATAAACATCATCGTGAGGATTCTCTTTGGAATGCACAAACATATCCTTCAGACTGGAGCTAATAAACATCATAAGGATTCTCTTTGCAAAATAATATCTTTCGAAATATCATTTACAAATCTCATAAATAGAATTCGAAATTGGTGCGCCATAAGAAATTTGTTTTTAATGAATTAACGTGTCTTAAGGACCGCACGAAAAACTCATTTTGATATCGT